TCCCGTGAGCATGAGCATGATTGACCGCCCACGGCTGCGACTCTGTTATTGCCAGACCAGCTACACAGAGAACCAATGGACGATGCTTGGGACTAGCAATCATCCTCAATGTGTTAAAACTGGAGATCTCAAACTAGGCAATACCAGCGCCGGCCGCGCCCGAACACAGGTCAAGAAAGGAAGGGGTAGGAATGTGTTGACGTGACACTCGCTTTGATGGAAGCCGAGAACACCTCTGCACTTCCACGAGGAATCACTATGATATTGGGTAATAGGGTTGGGTTTGCAGCAGGGTTCGTTTTGGTAAACGATAAGCTGAATTGATGTCCTAACAATCATATAACGCGAAGGAGCTTGGGATTGAACCCACGGTCTTCTGCTCAGTAAGCAAAACCGGTTGTTCTAAGGCCACCGAGCCCCTCATATCACATTATAGCGTTACTCAAGATTTTATAACTATTCAAACCCGGCACCGACGACAACGAAAAGTTTTACAAAATACACGATAAACAAGCGATCTTACCATACATTTTTAATATGAAAGGACCAAGAACCGCGTTTTTCTGCTCAGTAATTAAGCCACTGCCACCGACGATCTTTGAAATTCTTAAACTAAAAGCTACGAAAGAGGCCTTCATTTAGATCCACTACCACGCGACGTTAAATGTTTCGATTTTCTCTTTACGCATGATTCAGGCAATCATAACAAGCTATGACCGACGTGACGATGGTTTAAGACCTGGTTAAACAAGCTATTCAAATGAAATTACGTTCTCGAATTTCACTTGGCATGTAATGAACAACAGAAATACGCGATAATTCATATTTTCAGCGGTTGGTGGTTAATTTTAAATATACTAACAGTACTGCCTACGACTACGACGGCGATTACGACAGCGACTGCGACGGCGCCTACGACAACGACAACAGCGAATTTGTAACTTACCATTTGTCTAGGATAAACACCTTTGCCCGGCACCTCCACTGGTTCTTCATGTCCGCTATCTGTCACTGTTTGCAAAATATCTAATAGCAATTACCTTTGTTGTAATACTTCCTGTATTGCCATGGTCATTTGGGAGGAGGGTCGCATCTAGTGCTTTCCCAGGAACTGTTCAAGGCCACCAGCTACTGCCCGTCCAGTCTTGGGCGTATCCAGCGAGGCATCCTTCAGATTACTTACAATCTCGGACACTCAATGCAAATCGCAGGCACACTTACGCTAGTTACAGCCGGCGCACAATAGATCCACAAAGTCACGTGGGTTTCCCGTGATGGACATACCGAAAATTAGATCGACCACATCTGCATCAGTCTGCCTTCCTGCACATTCGATTGCCGTCAATGGATGGCAATCGATGTCCGTCGGTGATTGGCACTAGATTGTGGAACAAAGACCGACGTTAAATAAAGGAAAGAAGAAGACATCTGCATCAGCCGAAAATGGAGACGGAGCCTTCTAGATGTCCGGAATAAACGCAGCGCCGACATCGCGACTGACCATCACCTTCTAATTGGCGAAATCCACCTACGCATGGCGCGGATCCAGCGACGGGAGGAGAGACTCGGGCGGCGGTTCAACACACGCCGACTTGAAGATCCAGCGGTAAAAAGGTCTTTTGTTGAAGAACTTTAGACTCGAGCTGCGGACGTTCCAGAAGGTGGCAGCGTAGAAGAACAATGGACGGCCATCAAGAATGCCTTTATAGAAACAAGCGAGAACAACTTGGGTGAGCTGCGCACCCAGAGGAAAGAGTTGATCACAGATGAAACCTGGCGGAAGATTGAGGGGCGTAGAGAAGCAAAAGCCGCGATAGAGCGGGCGAGAACAAGAGGAGCCAAGAACGAAGCCCTTTAACGGTACTCGGCTCTAGAGAAGGAAGTCAAGCGCTCTTGCAGACGGGACAAGCGAGCGTGGGTGAACTCCCTGGCCGACGAAGGGGAGAAAGCCGCAAACACTGGCGATATACGCCTCCTCTACGATATCTCACGACGCCTGAGTGGAGCAAGGATGAACCCGAGGATGCCAGTGAAGGAAACGACTGGACAATTGCTTACCAAGGCCACTGACAAGCTGAAACGCTGGTTTGAGCACTTCGAACAACTTCTTCAAGTTTCGACGGCCAACCAGCCATCAACATCTCGGCATGATCCGCCTAGGGTGCGGCGCATCACTCGCGTCAATTCCCAGGCCCCATCACTGCAGGAGATTGAAGCAGCTATCCGAGGCATGAAATCCAACAAGGCTCCAGGGGTCGATCGCATATCAGCAAAGATGCTCATCCGCACAAATGTTGCATCAACTATTCTGTAATATCTGGGGCACCGCGACTTTTCCGGCAGACTGGATGCAGGGCATCTTAGTGAAGGTCCCAAAAAAGGGGGATCTGACTATGTGCGACAATTGGCGAGGCATCATGTTACTGTGTATTGTTCTCAAAGTTCTGTGCAAAGTTATCCTGAATCGGATACAGGAGAAGATCGACGCGACTCTCCGACGGCAGCAGGCAGAATTCCGTGCCGGAAGATCTTGTGTGGACCATATTGTCACGCTCCGCATCATCCTGGAGCAGGACAATGAATTCCAAGAGTTTCTTTATTTGGTTTTTTTTTTTTTTCCTTTGGTTTTTTTTCCGTTGGTCTTGTTTTCCGTGCTGAGCACCAATGCTACCGACGTGCCAGGAAGGCAGCTCCCACACCTGGACCCTACCTATCGACCCATCAACTCATGAACCGGGGACCAACGGCTTTACTTCCCATCCGAAGGAAGGCGTGATCAGAGATGTTATGCCTCAGAACATCCCGGCGGCGCCGACTGGTATTGAACCCAGGCCTGCTGGGGTGAGAGGTAATCACGCTTACCACTACACCACCGGCGCCGTTAACTTTATTTGGTATTCATTGACTACGAAAAAGCTTTCGACCGTCTCAATCACGAGAATCTGTGGGGCGCCCTGAGACGCAAGGGAGTCCCGGATAAAATCGTCAAGCTCATCGAAGCTAGGCTTTCACGTGCAGAGTTCTGAATAACGGAGCCTTGTCCGACCCTATCCGGGTAGTCGCTGGTGTGAGACAAGGATGTATACTATCACCGCTACTGTTTCTCATCGTAATCGACGAGATCATGGTAGGTGCAATTGACCGTGTACCGAACCGTGGGCTGCTTTGGCAGCCTATCACCATGGAGCATCTCAACGACTTCGATTTGGCTGATGATGTTGCTCTACTAGCACAACGGCGCTCTGATATGCAGAGTAAGCTCAATGACCTAGCCGAACGCTCCTCTGCGGCGGGTCTCACCATCAACGTCAACAAGACCAAATCGTTGGATATCAACACGGGCAACCCTTCCAACTTTACGGTAGCGGGGCAAGCAGTGGAGAAGATCGAAAGTTTCCAATATCTTGGCAGCCAAATAGCGTCGGACGGCGGGACCAAGAGCGACATAGGTGCACGAATCAAGAAGGCTAGGGCTGCCTTTGCGAGTTTACGAAACGTATGGAGATCCAACCAGATAAGTCAACGCACCAAAATCCGAATTTTCAACTCGAACGTGAAGTCTGTGTTGTCATACGCCAGCGAGACGTGGTGTGTATCAGCGGAGAACACTCAAAAGCTGCAGGTCTTCATCAACCAATGCCTGCGGTATATAATTCGAGCCTGGTGGCCTCACAGCTGGATCTCGAATGCCGAGCTCCATCGTCGATGTCATCAGAAGTTGATAGTAACCGAAATTCGAGAGCGAAAGTGGAGGTGGGTCGGCCACACACTTCGACGGTGCGGAAACGAAATTTGCAAGCAAGTGCTGGATTGGAATCCGGCAGGACATCGCAGCAGAGGCAGACCCAGGGGCTCATGGAGGCGGAGCCTCAACAAGGAAATTAAGCAAGTCAATAGGAATCTGACCTGGGACCAGGTCAAGGCAAAAGCGAGCAGCAGCCCAGGATGGAAGTCTTTCACGTTGGCCCTTTGCACCGCTGGTGGTGCACAGGACCCTTAAGTAAGTAAGTAAGTGTTAAGTCTTACTAAAGCTTACAATGAAGGGAGGAAGGTGTTGTGAAATTAAAAAAAAAATGTTACGTAAGGGGTGATGCACATATTATGTCACGCTCTAAGGGGGGAGGGGGTTTTCATTTTGCGCCAAGCAATGCATTAGGTATAGGAAAAACCGTCACGAAAGGGGGAGGGGGAGATTTTCTTCGTCAAACGGATGACGGTAGAAAAAAAATGGTGATCGCGCACGGGCAGAACTTCCCTACGTTGTGTGAATAGATGGTGAAAATAAAACACGGTCGTTTATCGGGCCATCCTGCCATGGCAGAGGCATGCGAACTATTGAATTTATTTGCAATCTTTACAATAGAACGGTAGGCATGATAACACTACGCTTGCGGCACTTGTGTGTTGATATGAGTATTTGGGTAGGGTAGTTGCACACGTTTTGTACAAACAAATGGATTCACTAGGAGCGCTTCTTTTGTTTTTGAGAACAATGAATGTGTATGATGATGTAAGAAACATACGTATTGTTGATTTGTGCACCTTGAAATCATTTATATTATTGATGTTTTTAACTCGACAGAACTAAAATAGGCGATGACTACGAACTAGTGCTCTACCACCTTAATAACCTTTCAAGTTGACCCAAGAGTTATCTGAAGTTAAATGACATTGAATTAAATTTGTTCGCAAATTCTGTGTCCATCGAATATGTGCATCTGTTTTGACGCAATATTCTCCCGTAACAGTTGTTACTCTTTTCCACACCAAACTCATGTGAACACTGAACCCCAATTTCCCCCAAAGTAATCACATCAAAACCAAACCGTTGCGGCCAAACTACAACAACAGCCATTATAATCAACAACAAAAACCGAACGGACCCGGCTTCCAACAAGCTCATGTAGCGGAAATGTGGAGCCACCTTCAGTTGCCTGCTAACTCCCACAACCCTTTCCCTGCGGCACTGTTCTTCGCCATTCGCAGCTTCTCTTGCTTACCTTTTTTGGTTCGCCTTCTCGATGAACTCCCGAATGTCCTGATCTACCACCCAGACGAACTCGTCATCAGCCACGCTAAGGTAACGGTTTACGATTGAATTATCCAGCTTGACGTCGGATGGTCGCCCGCTATTCGCTCCGCAGGTACTCTCTACCCCACGGAGAATCTACTCTTCTTTCAATTCTATCTGCCGATCACGATGATCACAATCCACACCGCACACAGTTCGGGTCGATTTTCGTTTTTCGCAATTCCTTCCCGCTTAGATCACCAGCGTAAATTTGCCACACCAGGTAGACTAGGCAACCAACGGTAGCAAATCAAAAACTGCCACTACCAAATAAAGAGGCCACTTTTTTTCCGCGGAAGCACCCGCCTCGCTCCCTTTTCCGTTGCTTTTCTTTTCCACCTTTGCTCTCGATGTTGCTGCTTTTCGCCACCGCACTCTACTTGGCAGCGCTAAAGGGTACCTTTATGGATTTCGTTTCGTTCACCTCAACAGCAACGCGAAAATCTCTTCCGCCTTCCGCGGTGCGCGCGAGACCCCTTCGTGTGAACGTCTATGAAAAAAAAAAACCTTCGGTGGTGCTTTTCCACACACCACTGAAAATCACCGTCCACAAATAAAATAATGCACACCGGAAATGGCCAAACAAAATGCCAGCGAAAATCGAACCTGAGAACGGACGCGAAACTGCTCTACACCCACCGCTCGGTCAGTCGTAAGTTCCAAAAACCGAAACCAGTTTTCGAGTTGGGGGAAAAAAAAGTGGGTGACGACTCGCGGAATGAACCTCGTTCCCGTTAGATTTTTATTTTATTTTTTTTTCTGGAGGTATGAAGGCAAGCAGCACACAAAACACGGTCCACCACCAGCGCACAGCACACACAACACTACTATTGCGGACTTCCGACTGCCACGATCGAAGCGGAGACCGGACTAGAGAGAGAAAGAGATCACTGCTGCCAGCGATAAGATCGCACGCAAAATTTAATATCCGCCACGAACCGTGATTAATGATCATCGACCAGAGAAAAACTGTAAATTTTTCACTTCCCCAACATCCTACAAGAAAAAAAGACCCTTCTGCACTGCGCTCGCGAACGAATTTTGGTATTTTTTGACAGCTTTATTCGTTTGTGTTTGTTTTCGGTTGCGTGTATGCGAGATGTGTGCGGAATCAAACATCGAAACGGAAAATGCGAACGGACGCATCAAAACAAAATCCGGAAGAAAAATTTCTGAGTTAAGGGGTAGGGCACAACACAAAGCAGACAGTGTTGTCAGTTATGTCGTAATTATATAAAATCGAGGGGGACAAAAGTCCCAGATTTATTCAAATTTTGTTAAAAATATCTAGATAGAGCTGGAATAAGGGCCAATGTCGCAAATGTAAACAAACTGAGATTAATGCTTCACATTGTATTACTATTAAAATGCAATAATACAATGTGAAAAAAATTTGAGAAAATTAATACACATCCCTCAAATATGTAAAAAACAAAAGGGCGGAAACAAGTTTTTTTGTTAACAAATTGCGATTTCACTTTCGCCCGCTTCGTTGCGTATACACATTTGGGGCGAAACTGTCATATTTTTTCAAAACAAGGCGAAAGATGTTATTTTTACTATTTTTTGCAATTACCGGTTGTTAAAAAATCATAATCAAAAGAAACCACTGCTTAACTGTTCGAGAGACATAAAAAAGTAACACAAACAGTACAAAACATGGATTTATCTGGAATCCAGCTGCTTCTCGGTAAGAAAAAAAAACAGATTGAAACGTGATAGTAAAATTAAAATTTTGTTAGATGCTGCTGTTTTGGTATCGGAATGTACAAATATCTCACAATGCATCAAAGATGAAGCTCTTCGGAATGACTCAAACCCACCAATTAATTCGATGCCGTCGGTAGGATGTTACGAAGAAGTATGCACCAGTGCACCTCAGGAAAGTCCCCTCGACTTATCTGTGACCTGGTCTGTAGTTAATGAACCAGATTCTACACCCTTGGAGGACATTTCATTCAAAATGGTACATACATCTACTCCAAAGAAACCAATGCTGCTAAACCATGAGCCACTTGATTTGAGGTACTGTCCAACGAGTAAACAAAAATCTACGGAAAGCATTACCAGCAACAAAATATGGCCACAAAAGTGTCAGGAACTGGCTGCACAAGATCTAAGAACCTGCAAATCGTTGCATGGCAAACTCGGCCAAGATACTCGCTATAAGTCTTCCTGCTCTTTCACCTATAGTGATTTTGAATCGTCCCGGGTCGAGCACGATCCGCAAAATAAATCATCCGTTTCCATCAGATCCGGCTCACGAGACCCGAAGACAGTTCAAGCGTCATGTGATGAGATCGGCCATTACCCTCGCAACAAGTATTTCTGTTCTTCCAACTCTAGTAACATCGAGCACGGACCCCAAAATAATTTTTCCGTATTTATCGTTCAGGTATTCCGTCGGTGTCGAGCAGGGCCATCGTGACAAGATCGCCCACGATCCTCGCAACAAGTATTATAATTCATCTACCTCTGATATCGAATCGTCCCGTGTCGAGCACGATCCGCAAAACAAATCTTCGTTATCCACCGGAGCCGGCCCACGTGACAAGAAGACAAGTCAATCGTCATGTGAAAAGATTGCCTACGATCCTCGCACCGAATCTATCAAGTTTTCCACCTCTGATGACGTAGATTTGCCTCGAGTTGAGCACGGTCCACGTAAAAAGATCGCCCACGATCCTCGCAACAAACTTTGTAGTTCTTCTCCCTCCAGTGATATTGAAACGCCCAGTGTTGTACACGATCCGGAAAACAAATTTTCCGTCTCTAACAGTGCTGTCCAACGAGACCCGACAACAGTTGAATCGTTATATGGCAAGATCGCCCATGACCCTCACAAAAAGTCTTTATGCTCTTCCAACTCTAGTGACGTCGAATCGACTCGTGTTGGACACGATCGGAAGATAGTTCAATCGCCACATGACATGATTGTAGCTAGTCATTGTGGTAGATATCGAACGTCAGTTCACGACAGTGAAATGCCACGGGCGCAAACGTTAGCTTCTGAATCAGAATGCGAAGATGTCGACGACGAAGATCAGGAATCAGAATGCGGAGATGTCGACGACGAAGATCAGGAAGTGTGTATTGGTGACTTAACATTGTTTAACGAATTTATTGTTGAAGAATATTATGAGAAGTATCAGAATCTATCCTTAATGATCGACGATGACGAACCGGTTAATATCAAAGAAAATCAAGGTACGCAGAATTTTTATTTTAGAAAACTATTAATCTAACATTTATTTGACAGTGGCTGGCAATGCAATAAATTATCCAGATGGATTCAGATATGTTAACACAAATATTGGTAAGCATTGAACACATTTCGTCTCATTAAATGTCTTCGGTCTAACAACCTTGTTGTCTTGTGTCAAAATGTAAAATGTTTGTATTTGTGGCCAAAAATCACTGCAAATATGCAAGTTAAAATAAGTTTCTTTTTTACAGACTCTCCGTCACGACAACCTCTGGGTGAAGTACAGCTGAAAGATGGAGATTTAGGATTTGATGAAATTGACACATCTTATGTCCCGTCCAAGAAGCCGAAGACCAATAAACGAAAGATTGTACAACATGCACGAATGCGAGGCTTAGAGTATAGACAATCTAACGGCCATTTAGTTGCTGCTCGCAGTGTGAAACCACCGTGTAGTTGTACGAAGCTCAAATGTTTCAAGAAATATGATGAGAACACTCGAAAGAAATTATTAGAAAATCTATTGAAGCTTTCAAGTTCCGGACAAAATCAGTTTTTGAGCAATCATATGGCGATACGGACAACTGCAAGGCCAAAGGTAAATATAAAGTCTTTACTTAAGGGGAAGCTTACAACCCTGAAAAAATACGTATTAATTTTTCTAAAAATATTGAAAAACAATATAAAAATAAATCTTTATAAATTCGTTTTTTTTTTTCTTCAAGTCTGAAAACATTTTTTCTATGTTTTCATTTCGGTCATCATGACACAAGTTGAAATCAAACTCCCGAAAAATCGACCTTTTGATTTTGTTTAAACATTTTTCATGATGTAAAAGAAAAAATATTTTTTACATGTAAATTTTCTCGGTTTACATCCACAGGTTTTAAACTCAAGGCGCATATTTACGCGATCATATTTTCTACCTGCTTTCAAAGGGCGGATTCGCGTCTGCAAAGACATGTTCATGTCAACATTGGATGTCAAGGATAAAAAACTTCGACTGTTGGCAGAGAAGCAACTTATTGGTCGAGGCATTTCAGCAGATGATTTAAGATTGCAAAATGGAACTCACAAGGCTCTTTCTGAAGAAGAACTACAATATGTTTCCCAGCACATACGTTCGTTTCCTGCCTATTCTTCTCATTATGGCCGAGAGAAGTCATCGAAGCTTTACTTAAATTCCGATTTGTCAGTGATGAAGATACATGATTTGTATAAACAAAAATGTATGGAGGACAACAAACAACCGGTGCATTACACAACCTACCGGAGAGTGTTCAAAAAAATGAACGTAAGCTTCAGAAAACCAAAAATGGACACGTGCGGCGATTGTGACAAATTTGCCACCGCACTCAAGCTATCTAACGATGACCAAAAAGCGGAAATCGAAGCTTTACGAGATATGCATCATAACCGAGCTCAGGAGGCATATCGCCAGAAAAAATCCGATGTAAATGCCGCTAAATCGAATGTACGCTTCCGAACAGCTTCGTTTGATTTACAGAAGTGCCTCATTTAAACAGTGGAATCGCATACTATAAACGACAACTATACACACTGAATCTGACAGTCTTCAGTACCCACATTGGTAGTAATACCGTAAACTGTTTTTTATGGGATGAGTCGAAGGCAAAACGGGGTTCGCAAGAGATTGGATCGTGTCTGCTAAAGGATCTTAACGGTATGGACCCTCGCGTAGAGGAAATGGTGTATTACTCGGATAGATGCTCTGGACAAAATCACAACTTCATAATATGTATGACTTTACTGGCTTTCATTGAGCAATGTCGAACCTCAGGGCGGAAAATAACAATTGTTCACAAATTTATGACGTCCGGTCACAGCCACATGGAGGTAGATTCAGCACATGCTG